CCCCCCCCCCCCCATTCTCATCAACTTCTGCTAGCCATCTCTGCCGCTTGTACACTTTTCCTTCTACTGATTGTCCCAGTATGCTTTGTTTTGTTTCGTTTGGAAACATTTTTACTTTTTAAGCATATACTACTGTCCTTTGACCTTCTTGTGTGTCTCTCTGTAGAGTTCAGAGGAACAGGATAGGATGGGAAGAGAGGAAACAGTTCATATTAAGATAAACAGGAGGAGGAGGAGTCAAATATGGCACCAATGGTATGATGGCTGTGCCTTGTCCACTGTGAAATCTGCATTATAAGGCTGTTAAGTTTTTTTTTTTTTTTTTTTTAAACACACTTGACAATAGAGTGCCAGTGTTCAATGTTTTCAGTTTATATTTGGAGACCCAAAGCTTGTGTTGTCTTTGGTTTTTGGTTTTGCTCATCTTTTAGTATCCAAAGTACACCTTTTTTGGGATTGATTATAGATGGTTTCCCTGTTTTTCTCAAAGTAAACTCCCTCGTAGATTCATTTATTGACATTTTCTTTAATTATTTTCTGAAGGTGTGATTCTAACTTGCCTCCTTCTCTTTGGTTCTGCTGGTATTCTGAAGGTTTGGACTGGGCTCATTGTCTCACCATTCCGGAGCCGGATCAGGATTCAGGATCAGATCAGGATTAGGATTAGGCTTCAGGATGGATACATGGAGCAGGAGTATGGGAACATTTTTACCGAGAGAGGATCACGAGGATCCTTGTCCACATAACCCCACCAAACCGGAAACATTGTAGTAGAAATATTTAAACAAAATTGGCTTTTAAATAATCCAAATTAATTTTTTTTTTTTTTCCATTTTGTGTTGGACGTCAGAGACAATTTCTGATGCCACTGCGACAAGTGATTATTTTTCGGATTTTTTTTTTTTAAGTTTATAAAAAGAAGAGCAAAGCTGGGCTCAAAACCAGGAGGAGGGCTGGGAGGTGCAGGATGGATCCACACGCGTATGGAGAGTGGTAAATAGTGGGCAACCATTTACAGTGGAGGAGGGAGGGAGGGAAGAAGGGAGGACTGGGAGGCGACAAGGGAATGTGACCTTTAATGTGGTTTATATATATTTTTTTTTTTTCTTAGGTCAGTCATTTCCTGAGGAGGATGATTTCTGATTTTTTTTTTTTAAGTATAATATCCACTATCTCAAAGCTTTATTCTCTTTTAATAAAACTTTTAATAACATGCGTACAATGTTTGTGTTTTTCTTTTCTTGCATGTCCACAGTGGGTTGGGCACAAACGTGCAACACATGCAGTTGGGCTATTTGTGTATAGCTTTTACATAATACCGGTTGTTTCTGGAGGACTGGGTGCCTGATAATGGTTAATGGGTTTAACTTCTCAACCAGTGAAGGTTAAATCTGGCTGAGCAGGTGCTTTTTGCTACTCTTTAAAGTGTCGGTGCCTGTATAGGTGCAGTCGCTGTAAAAAACCCAAACCAATAAATACAGATTGTTGTATTGAATCTATAAGAATGTGTCATATTTTATAAGCTCAAGTGTTTAATATGTGAAATCTGAATATGCAAAGTGACTGGTAACTCAAATTAATGAAGTTAGACAGTGGTAAAGTACAAGTGCTGATAAATTGTACTAAAGAATAGTATTTATGTACTTCTTCCATTCCACCAATGTACATTTATTAGTTACTCAATCTCTAAGGACTTCATGACAGCAACACACTGCTTAAACCAAACCAGCAAGAACAGACTGCAGTATGGTTAGATTTTTATATTGTCTCAAAATATTATATATTATTCTTCTTTCCCCTCAAAACTAAAACATCACAAAAGAAAACCGTACAACTTGTTCTCCACTTACCTGAGGGGAGAAAGTGAAGTATTTAGCAGCAGCGTTTTACGTCACTGCAACAGTACGCTGTACACAACGTGATGACGTTGCGGCGCAAGGCTGTCTGCTATTGGTCAATCCAGCTCTCCGAACAGTGGAGACAGGTTCAGTCCCCCGGTCACGTCCCTGTAAATAACCGCGCAGGGTGCGAACATAACTTATATAAACTTAAATATCGTTGTCGAAGCTCAAACTTTCGCTTCGTCCGCGTCTGTTTCTGCGGTGACGGCACCGTTAGTTAGCTGTCACCGTGTTTTGTTGTCTGCTAACATGTCCGGAGGAGGTGTCATCCGCGGTCCGGCCGGGAGCAACGACTGTCGGATATATGTGGGGAATCTCCCCCCGGACATCCGCAGCAAAGACGTCGAGGACGTGTTCTATAAATATGGAATAATTCGGGATATTGATCTGAAAAACCGAAGAGGAGGACCACCGTTTGCGTTCGTGGAGTTCGAGGACCCGAGGTAGAGGTGGCACATTTCAACCTTTACTGTCTCCTTTATTTCAGAGTGGAAAGTGAACCTGTTCCCGCCACATAACCCAGCTCTTTAAACAATACAGTGTGTGCTTCAGTGTTCAAAATGTCATCAAATCAAACACTAATATCAAACTACTGGACAGCCTGAAGCCTCCGTACATTACAGGTCTGTACATGGAGAAACATTTCTACTAATTAATATAACATTTTCCAGTTCCAGTAATACTTTAAAGTTAACCCTTTGATAGATTTTATTAGGTGTATCATGTTGTTTTATCAGAAATGTGGGGTGTTTCAGTCTTCAACAACAGTGAAAGGTACTGAATGTCTACATTAAATAAATGCATAAATAAACACCTATGAACTCAATAAATGAGGCAATTAATAAATATAAATGTGTTTATATAGTTAAATAAATAGTTTTTTACTTTTAAAAGGACGTTTTTCAAAGGACTATCTGTATTTATTGCTGGGAACCTTAATAATTCCTGTATGTATTCATTTTAGGGGACTTCTCCACATTTCATTTCCCAGTTCTTTTTATTTCCATCTATTATATTCAAGTGAACGGAGACGTGGTTATCTCTCAGATTCAGAACAAAGACTGAACGCAGCCTCCAAGACCAACGCAGGCTGTCATGTAGGGAGAAGTGAGTGAGTGTCAATGTCACCCTGCAGGGATGCCGAAGATGCCGTTTATGGACGTGATGGTTACGACTACGATGGCTACCGTCTGCGTGTTGAGTTCCCTCGAAGTGGACGTGGAGGTGGCAGAGGAGGAGGTGGTGGGGCTTTAGGAACGCCAAGGGGAAGGTATGGTCCCCCTTCACGACGCTCCGAGCACAGGGTTATTGTCTCAGGTAGGCAAACGTGAACCCCCTAACATGTTGTCCTGAATGTATGAAATGTTCCTTATCCACCTTCCTACCTTCCTCGCAGGTCTTCCTCCCAGTGGAAGCTGGCAGGACCTGAAGGATCACATGCGAGAGGCAGGTGATGTATGTTACGCTGATGTGTACCGCGATGGCACCGGCTGATGTGTACCGCGATGGCACCGGAGTGGTGGAGTTTGTACGCAAGGAAGACATGACCTACGCTGTCCGTAAATTGGACAACACCAAGTTTCGCTCTCACGAGGTAGGTTGAGGGTGCAGGGAGGAATAGCTCTGGGACTAGATTTTGGGATTAAATCTGTTTGTTCAAGGTAAGTCCTGAAGTGAAACATGGAGCAGGTCAGAAGGACAGAGTAGGCATGAAAACAACTGGACAGTTGGACTGTTTGCAGGTTGGAAAGACCTTTTTTCGTGGTGTTTTTAACCATAATAACTGGGCAAGCAGCTCTTTTCCCATTCCTGCCTTTTTGTTTGTGTGTTCAGGGAGAGACGGCCTACATTCGTGTGAAGGTGGACGGTCCTCGCAGCCCCAGCTATGGTCGCTCTCGCTCGCGTAGTCGCAGTTGCAGTCGAAGCCAGAGCAACAGCGGGTCTCGCAGCTACTCTCCTCATCGCAGCCGAGGGTCTCCGCGTTACTCTCCACGTCGTTCCCGCTCGCGCTCTCGCACTTAAGACACACCTGACCTTGATTAAACCACCAGCCAGCCCAACAGTGCATCTCAGAGTGGAGAAGACAAACTTCACGGGACAACGCCTGTACAGTCTCCATGGACCATTTGCTGTGTTCATTGTTTGCTGTGTGTTTCTGTTTCCCCAATTTTCTGTTGTGATTTTTATTTTACTTTACATTTCGGCAGACCAGATAAGATTGGCTGAAGTACCCCGGTCTGTGTACTGTCTCTTCTCCCTTTCTCTTTTTCCGTTTCCTTTTCACCCCAAAATGATCTATATCTCCTGCTAACCTTGTCTCCCCTGTTTGAGTACTTTTCCTCCTCTGATTCCAGGATGTGTTGACGGGAATGGTACCTTGTTGGAGGAATTCATCATTGTATGCCATATGTTGTTATTTTAGGGCTGGTATGATTATTTATATATATATATGTGTGTGTGTATATATTTTTTTCAGTCTTGCATTTACTATTGTACTTTGACCTTCTCGTGTCTCTCTGTAGAGTTCAGAGGAGCAGGATAGGATGGGAACAAAGGAAAAGAAAACACAGTTCATATTAGGATAAACAGCAGGAGGAGGAATCAAATATGGCACCAATGGTACGATGGCTGAGGCCTCTCACAACTCTGAAATCTGCATAAAATAAGGATTTCCTCAGTTTTTTTTTTACTCTGAATATATGCTTGAAAATAGCTGAGTACTGTAACTGAATGTATGTGGCTGTATTAGAGGTTTTGTTTTGTTATGATACGTTCTAGTTCTAGTTGCTGTATGTGTGCATGCTCCCGTATAGCGTAAGTACCAGCAAGGTTACTTGTCTTCTGTCAGTAGTCCTTAAAGCCACTGGTCCTGCAGTTTTTTCTAAAGCATAATGAAATGCTGTGTTGGGTCAGTGCAGTATGTATGTGTGTATAGTCTTCTTTTACTGTACACTACCTCCTGTTTGGAGATCCAGTGGTCATTGGTGTTTCTGCTTTTGCTCTCTCTTAGTATCCAAAGTAATTGATATTTGTTGGGGGGAATGATTCTAATTTTTCTTTAATTATTTTCTGAAAGTTTACTTCTAACTTGCCTCCTTCTCTTTGGTTCTGCTGGTATTCTGAAGGTTCGGACTGGGCTCATTGTCTCCCCATTCCGGAGCCGGATCAGGATTCAGGATCAGATCAGGATTAGGATTAGGCTTCGGGATGGATACATGGAGCAGGAGAATTTTACCGGGAGAGGATCCCAACCCCCGGCCCTGTCCACATAACCACATCAAACCGGAACCATTGTAGTGAAATACTTAAACTAAATTGGCCTTCAAACAGTCGGGGGGGAAAAATCTTTCTTTTTGTGCGGGACCTCAGACACCCAGTCACTGGTGGCATCCTGATGAGTGATTGTTTTTCCAATTACTTTTTTTTTTAATTAAGAGGAGCAAAACTCGGATCAAAACCAGGAGGAGGGCTGGGAGGTGCAGGATGGATCCACACACGTAAGGAGAGTGGTAAATAGTGGGCAACCATTAACAGTGGAGGAGGGAGGGAGGGAAGAAGGGAGGCGATGTAGAGATGTAACATTAATGTTTGTTTTCTCTTAGGTCAGTCTTTTGCTGCAGAAAATGAGTTTATTTTAAGCATTATCTCCAGTATCTTGAAGCTTTCTTCAATAAAAGTTCAATATAATTTCACATTATTGTGTTTTGTCTCTTTTTTAGCACCTGCTCTGAAGGTTGCAAACCATTTTAGATCTAAAGGTCCGGTGTGTAACATTTAGGAGGATCTATTGTCAGAAAATATATTATTCCTAGAAAATAAGAATCATGTGTTTGTTACCTTAGAATGAGCCATTTTTATCTACAGATGTTCACCTTCTGTGGAGTCTGCTATGTTGAACCACCATGTTTCTACAGTAGCCCAGAATGGACAAACCAAACGCTGGCTCTACATAGGGCAGATCGCATTGTTTGCATGTTTCTCTACCACCATAGTTTCTCCCTCCATTTGGTAAGGGAGAGTGAAGCGAGTGAGTTGCAATCTCCAACTACACTAGATGCTACTAAACCCTACACACTGGACCTTTAAAATAATTCCCTTATAATGAAAATATAATGAAAGTTTCTGCTGTCAGTAGTTGTCAGGTTATTTAGTGTGACATGCTAACAGGAAGGATGATCCCTCCTCTGCAGAGACAGGGTTTTCTATTTTTTGTCAGCAAAGATTCATTAAAAAACACTGATTATCCCACCTGCAATTCTCATATGGCCCCAAATAAAGAATAAGGTCAGTGCCACTGGTGTGCCTGTAGGAATTAAAGCCAAAGCAAATCCCAATAGTGAAATAATTGTGATGTATGAGGAGGACATGTATATGTGTCTCCCACCACCAGTAGCCTACTAACACACAAACAAGCCCTCTTCCTTACATTTATATTTATCAGAACACTTAGGAAACCTGACTCTTACTGTCAGCACTGTATACTTAACCCATTACTACCTTTAATGTAATGCTAATGGTAACTGATCTTATGACCAAGCATTGAACCTAAAGTGATCCCTCAACGGTCCCATCCCAGTTTATTTAGAACTGAAAAACAGATATGAAAGAGGGAAAGAGGGGGGTGACTCTGAGCTACCACGGTGGCCCTACAGACATATTCCAAGAGCTATAAAAAACCAGCATGTATGTGCATGCTGTGAACTTTAGCTTTAAGATGAGCACGGACGGTCACCAGTGTCAGCAGGTTTCTCAGGTGTTTCTAGGTTGTCCCCCTGACTGAAACCCACAGGGGAGTCCAGTTGGGTGTCCATTACATCATCATGCTGTATTAAAGAAAGTGGAAACCTATAAATCCAACAAAAGGATTCGTTTTTTTAAAATAACTTATTGATTTTGTTTATTTTTGGACTATACATTTTGCATTTAGCACGCAATATATAATAAGACATGAAGGTTATTTAGTGCTGTGATCTGTTTGGTCTCTCCACTGCATGTGATCAATACTCTTAACAATGCATAGATGTGATCGATACTCTTAACAATGCATAGATGTGATCGATACACTAAACAATGCACACGCGACTCGTACCTTGCCTCTCCTGATTGGCTCTAATCATAATGCGCTGCAAGCTATGCTATGCAGATCGATATCGATACACCCGATCACCTTAATCGATCACGCCTTCTGTGGGGAGGGGAGGGGGAGGTGAGCTGGAAAACGGTTGCATTCTGGGTGGAAATAAGATGCAGGCACTGTCCGCAAGTGAAAAACGCCGTCACCAGGGTGGAGGCTCCGCTCCAGCCAATCAGGAGGCGGATGCGATGCGGAGGGCGGAGCACAGACGCACGTTTTCCTTCCATAAATGAACCAAAGACTGTGCAGCTGCCTGTAACAAACGCTCCTAAACACTGTATCTTCGTAGAGAGACGGTAAGAGTCAATTGCATGCGTGGGAGTGTTTCTTCGTGTGTCTTCATCGATAGCCCAACCTGTGCACTGTCAGCAGGTGAGAGGGGGACACTGGCTCTGCTGTTGGCTTGCGTGCTAATCTCGCCTGAGCCTCCTGTGTTTGTCCCGACAGGGCTGTATCAATGCTCCTCTCACTTTCTTTTTGCGCTGTTGTCTGCGGACCTGACAGCTTGAGTTGAATTATAGGGGTAACTTGTTGAATACGTGCAGAAATAGTGAAGTGCTACTTCAGCAGCAGCAGCAGTTCTCACGCTGTCAGCCGCACAGTGCAGGCGCATCTTCTTCAGTGTTAGAGTTGTGTATGTCACAGCTACCTTATTTTACTGTGCTACTTGTAAACAGTGTGTCTGTTTCACTGGGCGGTCTATCTAACTGCATGTGTGATCCAGAACTACTGTGTCATCTGAGGGAGGGTTTTTCCTTCAATCCACATGACTTCCTGTTTCATGAGGCCTCCTATCCAGTCAGTTGGATGGGAGAAGGTGCCTGCCTCAGTTCAGCTTCAAAATGCAAATAAGTAGGCTCACAAGTGCTGCTAGTTGCTGCTTCTATAAACAAATGGTGGCAGTAGTGTTGTAATCGTTAAAGTTGAACTACGGGGGCTCACTGTTTGCTCAGCTTGGGGGATGGTTAAACGTATACAGGAAATATCTCTTTGAATATGAGCTCTTATTTGTTTTCCTTCTCCTGTGCAGTCAAATCGCCAACATGTCTGACAAGAAGGCAGTGATAAAGAATGCAGACATGTCTGATGAAATGCAGCAGGATGCAGTGGACTGCGCCATGCAGGCTATGGAGAAGTACAACATTGAGAAGGATATCGCCGCCTATGTCAAAAAGGTACGTTATCTACATTTAATGAGCGGTACGCACATGTAACATTTAGTGGAAACCTTTTTCGTTAATGGCCTTTTCTATCTGTGAATTGTTTGTCTCCTGCAGGAGTTTGACAAGAAGTACAACCCCACATGGCATTGCATTGTCGGGAGGAACTTTGGCAGCTACGTGACGCACGAGACGAAGCACTTCATCTACTTCTACCTGGGCCAGGTGGCCATTCTACTGTTCAAGTCAGGCTGAAACCCAAACATGCCCTCCTTAAACTACTTTTAATTCAGCCCTTATTTGTGCCATGCTGTACATTTGCTACCACCTTTCTGCAGACATGCTTTCCTCTTGGTTTCTTGCTTCAGTCGGTTATTGTTTGCCACCTACAGCACTAACCCCGTCGGTGGATGGTGCTTTAGTTATGCCTGGACTGGTGATGTGCCATTCAGAGAGATTGTAAAACTACTCCCCATGCCAGCTCTCATTCAGCATTTGCACATCAGACAGACTCACCATGACTCAATTTCTGGATATTATTTTTGCTGTGCATTGATGCACGGCGCTTGTACATTGTTTCATATGGGTATGTTGTATAATAACTTATTTTTCATGGAATTAAAATGAGCAGCAGACAGTTTTTGTTGAAATGCCTTTAATTTTCAGTGTCGACTGAGATTGACTAAAAATGCCAAGACTGTTGCTTACACTTAATAAAGAATATCACCTGCTAAGAGATTTAAGCTTTTGTACATGCTTGAACATTCCTGTTTTCACTTCAGTTGTGAATATTTACAATGTTACTGTTGTATATCTGCAGTGTAATTTAATGTGCAGTTTGATATTGTGACATTTTCAACATGTTAAGCACAAAACGACAGTAAATTGGTTCAAAATGTGTATGTGTGACTTTGCTTCACTTGCTTGTACTATAATCAAATGTCTTGACATCTTGCGGGGGAGTTACTTGTCTCTCGTTTTTTCGGATCATAATTTTGTGTACCATGATACACTGTCAATTAGTTTCCAGATGCTGGCGACACACTAAAAGTTGAGAAAAAGCCAGGCTTGAATACTCACTTGTGGAAGGCTTTTTAAGTTTACTGTAAAATTGTTGTATTGATCAGCAGAAACCGGGAACATCCAGCAGAGAGAAGTATAATATTAACTCAGCAATATAATTTAAAGGTATTTAAATGCTCATTTATACTTTATTTCCCTCAAACAGAAAAGGTAAACTTGAGAAAGAAAGGCTTTTCAAGCTGACTGGCAACTCAAGGATGATGTGTCCAAAACTTAATTATGATAAGTAACTTTACTGCCAAAAGAAGATGGTAGAGGTCAGATCTGTTGCTCTCCTACCTTCATTAACAGAGATGTTAAACTCATGAGGAATTTCTTCAAAATACGCAACAGTGTTTTGTGTTCTGCCAAAAATGATTAAATATAATCTCTCGTCTGTAATTTAGGATTTAAACCTGCAAACACTAAGTTTTTAACATGTCTGGTATTATGTTTGTAAATATTATAGCAATCAATCATTCCAGTCCAGTCTCTCATATGTTTGCTGATAATTTCAAATTAAATTTCACTTAAAATCTGATGACTTTATGACTTGTGTTTTATTTTGTGTGAATAAACATTATTATTATTACATTATGTACAACTTTAATCCTGCATGCACATGAAACTGATATATATTACTGATACAATTCACAAATACATTCTGCATTAGACAGAATTTTCTCAGATTGCACACATTTGATGCATATCAGACCAGAAATCAATAGTGGAAGAAAAAAGTAGCATTGATATGACAAAATACTAATCCTCTGCTACAAGTAAACAGTCCTTTTAGACAGTTTAGTCCAGTAGGACCCAACTTAGAGGTCGAGTCTCCCGAAGGGGACTTCTCTGGTCCTCAAACAGATAAAAGTTAAATTGTTTACATTAATAATGTCCTATATTATCACTAATAAGTTAATATTGGACATTTTATAATGATTTAAAGTAAAAAAGGTTGTGCGAATGATATCTTTTGATACTTAATTTACTTTAATAAAATACTGACTGTAATGTTGTATTTATAAATGCTGATATCGCTTCATTGTTTGTACTATTTTTGTGTTATCTGTTCTTTCTTCCGGCGTGTAATCATATGTTTTTATTTAATTATTTTCTACCTCTACATGGTTTGTATACAATGGGTTTTTTTTCTCTATCCACTTTTGGCTGGCCTGATACCATCGGAAAGGTTCCCCCATTGGTTGGGACAACATAAGAGGAATATCTTATCGTTAATAAATCCGGTTATTTTATGGTAGTAGAGTGAGTTGGTTTCCATGTTTCTGTATGTGGCGTACTGTGCGTGGTGATAGTGGGCTTCCTTCGTTGTGCCGAGCTGTTAAGGGGGGGCAGTATATGAGCTCGACCATGGCCCTGGCATGTCAAGCATTGAAATGAAAGAGGGCGAGAACCACCAAGCGGAGTAAAACTTTTCCGGGTCCGAAGTAATATGGCGGGCTCAAGAGACCAGCGGGGTTTCTGTCATATGTGCAGCTGACATAGTGAATGGCCGCGAGTGATTGTCCCCCGTCTTTCCCCCCCGCGTGCCGTCTGGGTGCCGCGGCACTTGGCTTGCCCGGTTCTCCTTCCTCGGGTCTCCCGGACACGTAACTCGGGTATGGTCTGGGCCTTTTCGGGGCTCCAATCCGTCGGACCGCCGAGGAAACATGTTTTCTTCCCGCTAAGCGCCCGCAGGGAGGATTTTTCTCAGTATTAGCCCCTGCGAAGGGTCAGACTCGGGCCAAGGCTTGCGAGAGGGGAGCTCAGATACCTGGGCTGTTTGGGACCAGGCTCCCTGTCGGGAAAACTAGCAAGCTCTAAGAACCTTCGGAAGGGGGGGCCAATATTTCAGATCATCTTCGGCCTGAGGTAACCAATGAGGCTTGCGCGCGGTAGTGTTGTTTTGGCGGCAGTGTTTCAACTTTAAATTTAATGATGGTGTAAGCTTCTTCTTTATTACTGGTTCTTCTGTTTGGATGGGCTAGTACCTATCCCTATCTTGCCTGGAAGACAAGTGGCGCTCCCAATAAATAATACATTTGGTCGTTCATTTGGTTTTGGTGGCCTCCGAGTGGAACGAGTTTTTTTGGCCCTCCACCCGCCTTGCAAACCAACCCGGGTAACCTAGGCATAACCGCAGAGAACACCCTACAACGCCGGACCACCATACGTGCTACCCATAGGCAACCGGAGAACGAAGCCCGCCCCTTGGGAACCCTTCGGAAACAACCCCAAGAATCAATAATGGGCATTTATTACCTATTTGCCGCCGGGCCTTTGACTCAATTAGCACAATTTGCAGTAAACCACCCAGTCAGCTATTTGGTGGTAATGTCAGACCACCATTTAGGCAGGCAGAAATAACATTTTAGCGGGTTTTGCTTCTTGGTGCATGCGAGCTTCTCTAGGGGCTTCTATCAATCCAATCCTAACTTATGTTGGATTATTTTTTCGTTTTTTGTTGCCCTTCTGGAATCAGCTTAACAAACCTCTCCAGCTTGAAATTGTGCAAGCAATTCCTTCTTTAATTTCTTTAGGCCACAATTTCAAGATCTCCCTTTCTTGCATGGTCTCCTTTCCATATCCCAGCTGTCGCCCTTTAAGGAAGGGCAATAACTGAGTTCAAGGCTTTATTCCCCCGGAGGTGTCTTAAGAAAGTATAGGTATGCCCCTTAAACATCCCCTACAGAGAGGATACTTGACCAGGAAAATATTGTAGTCGTTGGTTTGGCCAGGCTACTTCTACATGGACCTTAATCTTCTGACAAAGGTGGTCAAAACTGCATCTAAAAATTGATTGGGGTCCACTTGAACCGCCTCCCAACACTCTACCAGGAAACGCAGCCACTAAGGAGGCCCACTTAGTATTATGGGGCAGGATTTTAGGTTCCATCCCTGGCACACAATTCTTGTTGTTCTTGGATGTTTTAGGTTAAATGTTATTATGATGTTTAGTTATTTATTATATTGGACTTAGTTGCCTGGAGAGAGTTGCCCAAGGCAATTGTTTATTTCATTGCTGTGGTACCCTGTACTAAATATGCATATGACAATAAAACTGAACTGAAGACACTCTTGGTTGTGCTGAGCCTCTTTGATTCTCCATTTCAGGATGTGTGCAGTCTGCTGAAACACGCCAGCTCTCTTGTGCCGCTGGGTCAAGAACATTTAGTCATCAAACTCTGCCAGCTAGTGCACCATCTACTCAATCAGCTGAAGGTAACAGTAGAGCTGCATATGTAAGTGTGGAAGTCGAGCTGGGGATGTCCTGTGTTCTTAGTGTCTGTCCTCGTTGTTTCTTCAGGTAATAATGGACGAGCACACATTGGACGTTTTGGTGAACTATACCGCCAGTGCGTTGAAAGTGTGCAGCACGTGGACGCACTCAGATGTCCTCCTGGCACTCTCCACCATCGTGTATGGGAATGGACCGCAGTGCCACCAGGTAGATATTTGCACGAGCTTTTTGATAGTGTATTGTGGTAAATGATGAACGTTTTATTGAATATTTGAGTTTTTTCTCACTCATAGCACCTCAGTGACTTGCTGGGTGAAGACGGGGTCCTCCTTCTGTATAGTTCTCCTTCTCAGCCAAATATGGAGTTACGCCGTGTGGCTCTTACATGTATGGCCAACATCTGTCTCAGGTAGGCTTTAGTGGGCTTTAAATGTAGCTGTTTTACTGTGCACTCGCTCTGTAGACTAAAGACAAGATGTAAATGTGTTCTTCTACATTACAAGAAGTGAAATTAGGTATTTAGACTGTAAGGCCTTGTGGGGAAATTGTATTTACTTTGCATATCAAGAGAGATTTTAAGTTGTTAAGTTGAGTTTTGCAGCCATCTACATTCATGTTATACTTCATATAAAAAACTTAATATAATACCTCCAGAGAGACATCTCCAAGCTGGTACTGCAACATAATCCACTACTCCCCTGTGCACCTAAATATGAGCTATAGTTACATACTTTGATTCTAGCTAAAGGCCCCTTCTTCTTGGTACTTTGTCGCTATAATCTATAGTTTTGTTACAACATTTTATCAAATGAGAAAACACTGTTAAAGAGTCACTTCTTGTGATGAACCTACAGAAACCTTACACTACCTACTCGGCACCAAACAGCAGGCAGACATAGTTAGCGACTAGCTGGTGAACATAGTGGAGCATTTAGCTGCTAAAGAGCCAGATATTATCTCAGGAGTTGGTGGAGACCAAAGACAGTAAATATTGGCCAGAAACATGACTCTAAATGAATGATAATGCTGGATATTTAAAGGTGGTGCTTCTTTGTTGTGATTGTTTCTGTGGTCGGCTCGTTTGTTTCTCTCCAGAATCCCAGGTCAGCCCCCTTTGGATGATCAATACAGAAGTGTATCTTTCAGCGTCTTCCTGAAAACACTGCAGTCCTCCAGGCCTCCCAACACTGATGAGCTCTTCTACTGCATGGTACGGATACTTGGAGTGTTGTAATGAAAATTTCAATGAGGAAAAAATACATTAAATCATAGTTGACCCATGTCTGGTCTTGTGTCCTCTGTGCAGGTGATCCAAGCAGCACTGAAGGGGCTTCAGTGTTGTCTTTCAGGCGGGAAGTGGAAATTTGGTGGAGGGGAGGAGCTTGGGTCTATACTGGCCTCACTTAAGGTACAACATTGTAACACATTAGCAGATTTTTCTGTTGATTTACGATTTTTTGTCTTTTTATCTTGCACAAACACTACATGTGAGTTTATTTAGTACATGTTTTCTGCAGAGGCTCATGTTCCAGGGATCTCCAGGTGTGAGTGTTGAGTGGCCAGCTGTGCTTTACCCAGCACCTCTTCCTCAGTATGAGGGTCTCCCCACATCAAAACCTGCTGAACCACCGAAACCCTCTGAACAATCAAAGGATACCGTGCCGGGAAAAACTTCAGGGGTAAGACAAGCCTTCGTTTTTGCTGTTATAGGTTATAGCAAGGACAGATTGAAAATCACAGATGAAACACACTTTGGTTGAAATGTTTTTAATGTCTCTACTCAGAATAAAAAGAGGAAATCCAAAGGGAAGGGGAAAAAGACGAGCACTGAGGAGAGCAGAGGGGAGGATGGAGAGGAAGATGACAGAGATGCAGTGCCTGTACTTCAGAAAGGAGGCAGAAGTGAAGGAGAGTCCTTGTCTAAACCCTCTGCCTCATCTCTCTACCCTTCTTGGAAAAAAAGCAGCTCTGACTCAGAGTTTTCTGACCCAGAGGGCAATGCACAGAGCAAATTAAGGTACAGAAAGACACTGCCCACGTTCATCCATTGGTGTTTTTTCTTATGCATGCGTTGCATTTCTACAAGCTTAAGAAGTCCTAAAAAGGCACGTGTATGTTATGTTTGAGAAACAAATGTAACTTTATGCTTTCTAAAAGGTGTACATGTTTGTTAAGTGAATGGATATGTCAAGTCATCTAAGTTTGTTACACTCTTTCTCTTTCAGGCTTTACCACGGTCGTGTGCGTCAGGGAGCATTGCTCTGTCTGCTAGCGGTGGTGAAAGGTGTAGAGAAGAGGACTCTGTATGGATACTGGTCCTCCTTCATCCCTGACTCTCCTACTGGGGGGCCGCCATCTCTCACTCTCCTCACAATTATACTGAAGGACCCCTCTCCAAAGGTACAACATACCCTAACTCGTGTTACACTTCTCCTCGACGCGTGTGGCTGTAGCATCTGTGTCTTTTCTCTCCCCCCAGGTGCGTGCGTGCACCCTTCAGGTGTTGTCGGCCATTCTGGATGGCTCCCGTCAGTTCCTGGCCGTGGCTGAAGATACGGCGTCTCCTCGTACGTCTTACACCCCTTTCTCCTTCTCTCTGGCCACTGCCGTCAGAGAACTGCACCGTGCTCTCAGTCTGGCTCTGCTAGCTGAGACCTCCCCTCAGACACTCACACAGGTCATAAAGGTACAGTAACATACGTTTGATAAAGGGAGTTTTGTGATGACACCCATTACCTTCTGATAGTTTTCTCTTCTGGGTTATTGCTAATGTGTTCTAGAGATTTGATCGGGCCAACAAAAAAACAGGTTTAACCTGACCGGAGCCTAAAAAACCTTCTACTGTCTTCTGTTATTTGAAGTGTGATAGTTCAAACTTTATTGTACACACTTATTTTACGCACCCAAACATGCCCTCTAGCACTGGATATGCCTGCAGTTCTGACGTTGGTTAATCAGGCATGTTGAGCTTGCACACATACAGTTGGGGAGTGATATCTGGTAGAACAGGAGAGGCGGCCGAAAAAACCCGACCTTTTCTTTCGAGTTACAAAATGTCACGTCATATTTTTTACCAAGTAAACAAAAAAGACTTAAGACTGTCCTACAGTGTAAAAATCTACAGCCATGCTAGCAGCCCTCTGAGGTTCAATACAAACCAAAAGCAAACCTGTTTAATAGATGAAAAATGAAGACACAACTTTGTTATTCTCATGTTTTAAATCCTTCAGCAAAGTGACCAAAATGATTTGTCATCTGCGTGTTATGAATAATCATAGTTTTTAATTTGACCTTCTGGAGGAGCTCAATGAAAGTTGGGATATCACCAAAGTCATTAGGATTAATCATTTGGATATTCTGAATATCTGTTCCAGCAGACCATCAAATAATTATTAAAACATTTCACTCTGGACTGATAGATGGTTAAAAATTACACCTCCCAAATTTAGATAAGAAGAGAATGAGCATAAAACAGGTTGTGCTGAGACGGTCCACCTCTCAGGCTTGTATGTTTATTGTCCTAACAGCTTATTTCCACCTGTCCTGTCTGTTAGTGTCTGGCCTACTTGGTGGCGAACGCTCCCTACCATCGTCTCAGACCCGGTCTGCTCAGCCCGCTCTGGAAGCAGATGCGTCCCTATGTGCGCCACAGAGGTCAGTTTTTCGTCAGTGCACTCAAGTAACTTCACACATGAATTTAAGGGAACGGGTCAGTAAAACATGCTTCTTGTAACACAACTTATTTCTGCCTTTTAGATGTGAATGTTCGTGTGTCAGTCCTGACACTTTATGGGGCTCTAGTGACAACTCAGGCCCCTCTCCCTGAGGTGCAGCTCCTCCTCCGACAGCCGGAGGGCAGCAGCAGCAGCGCTGGCTCATTCACGCCGCAGGACTCCGCTCTCAGCTGGAGACAAAGAGACGGAGTGTCCTCGCCCTCTCGCACGCCAGTCACGCCCACCAAGCGGAACTCGCGCACACACTCGCCCCGCGTTCCTCGCACACCGGTGGAGGAGGATAGTTCCCCGCCGTGGCTGCTGCAGCTGTGTGTGTCACTGGTGACTCAGCCCAGAGAGGACCAATCAGACAGTGAGGGGGGGGCAGGAGGCGGAGCTGCTTTAGAGCCCTCTCCTGTACGACTAGAAGCTCTACAGGTGAGAGAGAAAGAGTGAGACAGAAAGTGACAAGAGAAAGCCCCAAACAGACATGTCTGAAATCTGAAGGTTTTTTTTTTTCTTTTACGTGTGTGTCTCAGGTCATGTCTCACCTGGTCCGTGGCTACTTCTCTCTAGTCCAATCATCTCTGTGTGAGATTGGGCAGGTGAGCGCTCGCTGCCTTAGGGAGGCAGACCCCTCCATTCAACTGCACGGAGCAAAGGTAACACCTCCTATTGTCTCTTAGTCCGTAAGTAACTCCTCTGTTGGCTGTTTGTGGCACCTACGTTTAAGCTTCAGTAATACAGATGGTGTAAATGTATATTTTGAAAATTGATTCTTTGATTGCACAAGACGACAACAGTTAACAGATGCTTTGAAATTACATAAGAAACAATAATTAAGTCGAGATCTGTGCACTGACGTCGTGTTGTTGTCTTTTTATTTAGTTACTAGAGGAGTTGGGGACGGGAATAATCCAGCAGTACAGAGCAGAGAACAACGTACCCGAGAGCGTGAGGGTCCCCATGAGCCAAGTAAGTACAAACTGTCTCAATACTGTAAATACTGTATCAGGGTAGACCAGTTGTAATTCGTTTCATATTTCCTATTGCTGTTTGTTTCCTTTCATTACGTTAGCTTCTTTCTTCCATTTTACTCTCTCATTTGGAAGACATAATGTTCAAAGGCACTGAATAGAGAGACCTCTGACTAGGGCCAAGCAACGCTGATCGTTATTTTATCTTTGTGTTTATTTTTCCATCACCTCTAAATGATGTGGGCCTAAACCTTTATTGCCTTCATTCTTTTTCTTCTCCTGTTTTAAACTGCCCAGATGGCAAATCCCCCGAAATGTTGGTTGATGCTAATATATCAACCGTGTGACTAGAAATCTCTAAATGCTAAGTTTAAAGTTCAGTAAACCATTTTGTTAATGCGTGGACATGAAACAGGTGGTGCAGTTTTGGTCAGAAGTTTTGAGTGGTCCGCTGAACGGAGCGCTGCAGAACGAGCAACATCCCACGCTGCAGACGAGCGCCTGCGACACGCTCTCCTCCATCCTCCCGCAGGCCTTCGCACAGCTGCCTGTGAGTTCCCCTTTGATTGGACTTTCTACTCCGTTAACACTGATCTCCATGGAGCTGTATGTGTGACATGTAATGTTGTTTTTAAGGACAAGACCCAGCTGATGTGCATCACCGTGCTGCTGGGGCTGACCTACAGTGAAAACTATCTGGTGAAGACGGCAGCTGTCCGGGCTTTGGGAGTCTACATACTGTTCCCCTGTCTGAGAGAGGATGTGATGTTCGTGGCGGATACGGCAAACACCATCCTCGCTGCCCACGATGATCGATCTCCAAATGTCCGTGCCAAGGCTGCCTGGTCCCTGGGCAACCTCACAGACACACTTATTGTTAATATGTAAGACAACGTGGATGCAAAGTGCCGAGTGAATTAAGAAAACTCACTAAATGCATCTGTATCTTTCACATTAAACCAGTATAATAAGTATTTAAAGTATATATTCTGTTATCTCCTGGTTCTTTATCAGGGAGAGTGTTGGTGTTGACTTCCAAGAAGAGTTATCAGACATGCTGCTGCTCAAGATGTTGCAGGCTGCCACCCGAGCGTCGGCAGACAAAGACCGGGTAAGAGCATTCACACTGTCACACAAGAGCAAAGCACAAAGATTCACATTCGCCTTCTTTTTAATTGGCTCTCGCCTCTCTCAACTTCCTTCAACCCCATCCAGGTGAAGTCTAACGCAGTGCGAGCACTTGGGAATCTGCTTCATTTCCTGCGTGAGACTCAGCTGACCCGGTCTGCCTTCCAACGCCCGCTGGAAGACGCAGTCCGTGCTCTGGTTAAAACTGTCCAATCAGAGGCCACCATGAAGGTCCGATGGAATGCCTGTTACGCGTTGGGAAATGCTTTCAGAAACCCCGCCCTGCCGCTCGGTCAGTGTTTATGCACCTGTGTTTGCCCTTGTATGAATTGGTCAATAACCTGGCTCTGTGACCGTGCTTCCAATCAGCATTTAAAGGACCGGTGTGTAGGATTTAGTGGAATCTTGTGGTGAAGTGGCAGATTGCAACCAACCAGATACCTTCCACGCGTGTAGGAGAAACTACGGTGGCTACGAAATTCACAAAAAACTTGAAAGTACCTGTCTACAGCGGATTTGAATAATTGAATTTACAAATGTCCTGTGGAGACCAGACGAGTGCCGGGGGACATCCAGGTGTTGGATTGGTCCGACATGTACATGTCACTAGCGCTTGACATTTAAGACATCTTCTCATCTAACTCTCTGTAAAAAAGGAAATAAATGTTTATCTGGGTGGTAAACAGCTGGTTGAACGCACTCTAAACATTACCCAACATTAATGATTAATCTGAATTCTAGTTTTTATTTTAATGTTGCTCACGTGTGTCTGTCTTCTTCTTTTCCTCAGACTCAGCCCCGTGGTCCCAGGACGCGTTCTCCGCCCTCTGCCACGTCGTCACTTCTTGTAAGAACTTCAAGGTGCGGATCAAGTCTGCCGCTGCCCTGGCAGTTCCCGGCCAACGCAGCTGCTATGGCGACACGAAGCGGTTCAGCTGCGTGTGGCATTCCCTGGCCACGGCACTGGAGAACAGCGAAGACACGAACGACTTCTTAGAGTACCGCTACAGTGCCAGCCTGCGACACACGCTCTCTCAAGCCCTCCTACACCTGCTCAGCGTCAGCCAGTCGCAGGACATGCCCGCCCTCGGGGCATCGCTGGCTGGGGAGGAGGGGAGGGGCATCAGAGAGCATTTAATCAAATATGTCAGAGCAGAGGAGGGGGGAGCAGACAAGGAGCAGGGAGAGAAAGACGCAGCGGGGGACAGTTTCACCCCTCAGCAGAGAATTGGAGGTCTGCAGCAGACCCTGCTCAGACTGAAGGGGCTGAAGACTGAGGGGGAGGGAGGGGGAGAAGAGGACAGAGGCAAGGAGGCGGTGGTTAGTTTCCTGGAGGATTTGCTGAAGACCTGTGAGTCTATTGACTGATTTCTCAGAGGTGGACAGATCCAACCACCAACTAACTGGTGACTGAAGGCAAAGGTTATGTAACCAGCTTTGTCATAATGAGCGTCTTGCTTTTTTTTTTTTTTTTTTCTGTACATTTCAAGACAAGTTGAAATTCAGTGCCTTTATGTCTTCTTTTTATCTGTCTAATTGCACTTGCACTCTTTTATGAGATCTTTTATGATCGGATATTCCTACAAATGTAGTGAAATTACATTTTGAGAACAAATATAAAGACTGAGATTAGAGTTGGGTGATAATGTATCGCCTATTGACTTTCAGTGGGATCGTATATTTGATGACGTGAACAAGGTCTTATTGTTTAACAGAATTTTGTTGTCAAAGTTAATTAACGAGAGAAACATTATTTATTGTTTTACATGTTTGGAGGTTTTTTTTTTTTTTTTTTACACATGAATTTGATTGTTTTATTTGTAATTTACATCATCAACATCTGCCATATAAAAAGATATGTGAAAAATATCTTTAATGTAATTGATTCTAATAATATTGCCGTCATTATTCAGACTATGAAGTACACTACATTGTCAATGTGAACACTGATGACGCTGACTGGACATCTGTGCAGCAGAGCAGATGTTTAAAACAATAAATACAGTGATTTCCCACAGTCTGGTTTCAGAGTTCACCAACATTTTTTGACAGTTTCTCTGAAGTTTAAAACGATGTGTACGCAGAAAATCTCAAACATACTATTCTCCTATTTGAGGTTTATGAGCATCACTGTATTGTATTCATATTTAACATGAAAACCTTATGTAACAATAGGAGTCAGAGCAAAAAGTAAAATTTGTAACCCTTAAAAAACCACCAGTGACTGAATATATTAGTTTTAGGTCTGGATTACCAAGTGGGCAACAGTCTTGGGGCAGTTACCATCCAAACAAACATGATTTTACCAGCAGTATTCAGTTAATTTACAGTATTTAATGTTGTGACAACAAAGTGACAGAAACAGAAGGTCTAACTATATCCGCACAAATGTTTCAGCTTTGTTGGTTTCAACAAAAGTAATTATAATATTCAGAATCAGAAAGAGATACTTTATTTATCCCCAGGGAAATTCAAGCATCCAGTCAATCAAAAATAAGATAAAAGATAAGATATAAAGTATTATGTACATTATATATAATACATAAAATGAACAGTAGCTAAGTAAACAGTGCAAATACAGGTAGACTTTATTGATCGGGGCGGGTTTGTTAACGACGGGAGCAACAGGCATCAATTGGCACCCATTATAAATCAGATATGCAGGTGTCACACATAATGATTATTTATATACATATATAAATGATAATATTCTTGTGAATCAATGAAAGCACAAGCTACAAACACACCTGGACTGTACACTGGGAGCCATTAGGGGGCGCCAGAGTTCAGGGCGGAGGGTGAGGAGCTGCTGGTGGATGATCCGGCTGTTGATTAGTGGAGTCTGGATCCAGACCCGACAGAGAACCACGCTGCGGGACTAATGGACGCCTTCGATTTGTTTCGGAAACTCGGATCAGGAGCAAATTCGACCTGAAGAGGTTTGGACAAGACGCGCTCGGTTCAGGTGAATGTAACGCGGAGCTGACGGTACAGTGGCCGGGAGGAGCCATGAGTTTAATGTAGTTTGGGCTGACCGCGGTTGTTGCTGCAGTGTTTGTTCTGGGCTTTCTTTGACAATTTTAGGGGGTTTGTGGCCTTTCTATCGCACTTCACTGAGGAAGGCTGTTGTTGTACACCGGCAGTGACAGTCTCCTCTTCTGGTTTCACGGTTGGCGGTCTCCGGTGTCAATGGGGGTTTGCTCCTACGGTCCGCTCTCTGCGATCGATTATCGGCGCAGGTCGACCAATTGGAGCCCAGAGCAGTTCCAAAGGATGGGAGATGGAGATGGTGATGGGGAGGAGGATGAGGTGGGGAAGTGAGAGT